GACAAGCAAGGGCTATAACTGAAACTCTGCAGCCTGTCTGGTGGCATTACTGCTCACCAAGTTGGTTCATATGCTGGATGCCCTGTTAGACCAAACTCTGAACACAGAGTGTTGGAAGCAGGGGAAAGGCTTTGTTAACTGGAAAATGGTACCAACCGAGGTGATAGGAGCCTAAGCTGAAATCTACCACCCATATGAAGAAGTTTCAAGATTTTCATAGGAGTGAGTACATGCTGGGGTCGGGGAAAGGGACTTAACTGTTTTAAGAAAGTCCATAAATTTCAGCCCTGGCGCATCACATTAGTGACTCCAGTGTGGTTTCCATTCTGTTGATACCTGCAGGTTCCTGCATTACATCTCATGGTCCAACATCCTCATGCGGGAAACAGAAAGGTTTGTGTAAGACAAAATTTTACCTTTTTTTTCTTTTTTTTGTGGGAACCTCGCTTGCGGCTGAGGAACCGAACCGGTGCTGCAGAGGCTGCAGGCGGCCTCGCAGCCCAGCCCTCAACCACTGCACCACCAAAGGGGGGAGGCCTGACAAAATTTTGCTTTTAAGAAGGTTAATTAGAGAGTGGTTAGTTAGAGTGCTGCTCCTTGCTTGTCATGAGGATTAGATCAGTGGGACAATATCACAAATAGCCACACAGAGCCTAAATATCTACTCATAGTTCAGAAGCCTATAGAATAAAGGGGCTTACTAAGAGTACATAGCAAAGGCACTTTGGTAACCATTGCTGGTGGGAAGGCAGATGGGAATCTTCCCACAGACTTTCACTAAAAAGTTCAATTTAACCTCAAGATAGTTTAATGTCAGACTTGAATAGCTGAGCATCTGTCTTATTTGTGTTTAAGCTACTATATAGTAGTAAAATGTCACACCCAACTAAAACCACTTCCATGGTGGCATCACTGGTGTCACAGTGTCACATGAACCAAAATTTCAGAAAAGAAGATATGGCCAAAAGCTCATGGCCAAAAAGCTCATGGAAAGGTGCTAAACATCTTTAGATAGCAAGTAAATACAAATTAAAACCAAAATAAGAGGGCAATTCACATGCTGAAAAAGGCGAAAATCAAGAATGACTATCAAATGCTGGTGGGAATATGAAGCAAATACAACTCTTGTACATTTCTGGTTGGAATATGAAATGGTATAACTGCTTTGGAGAAATGTTTAGTAGTTTGTATAATGTTAAACATGCATCTATCCTAGGTATTTATCCAAGAGAAATGAAAACAAATGTCTCCCAAAAGAACTGTACAAGAGGGCCTCCCCGGCGCAGCGGTTGAGCGCTGGGTTGCGAAGCTGCCCGCGGCCTCTGCAGCGCCGGTTCGATCCCCGGCTGCTCCCCAGCCACCAGAGGAGGGTCCCACATGGCGCGCAGACCTCTCCTGCCGCCTGCTGCTCCCCTCAGCAGTGTGCTTCGGTCCTTCCGCCTGCTCTGCTCCCCGCTCTGGCTCTGGTGAATTCTCTCACTCTCCTACGCTTCTGACTGTACCCAGTGCTTGTATAATAAATAAATAAAATAAATCTTTTTTAAAAAAAAAGAACTGTAGAAGAATGTTCATAGTAACTTGATTCATAATAGCCCAATACTGAAAACACTCCAAATATTCATGAGCAAGGAAATGGATTAGCAATTATGGTATAGTCATATACTGAAATAATACCCATTTTGAGAGATAAAGAAAGAAATCAGAGAAGAACTTCCATTAACCTAGGTTGGATCAGATGCCTGGAATATTCAACTATTTCCAGGAAAAGATTTGTTTGAAAAAGGGACTCCTTGTGATTTGTAAAGTAGAAGTTTGAATTTTTTTTAAATGTCTATAGATGTTCATAAGACTAATGATGGAGAGAAGAGTTAGGGCAGAGTCTGGAGAAAGATTTGAGTCAGTCACTTGCTCTGCTTTATATTAGGAGTGAAATATTTAAATGCTGTAGAAGATTTAGGAAATGGAAGGAAGGGTAAGGTGATCAGGTAAGGTTTAAGGCATTATTCAAAAGCACAAGAGACTGGCCTGAGGCAAGAGTGGGAACAGCTCTTCCATTATAATAGGAAGAAAAGAGAAAAAAAATCAGATAGCAATGCTGTTTAATTCATATAGCTGATGGAAAAAAATTGAGAGAGTTCTTTAATGATTCCTAATTCCTCTATGAAATAGGTAGCAAGGGTAAAAATTATATGGAAAAGAAGCTTACAAGAATGGAGAAAAGGTAGAAAAGCCACTCTGGAGAATTAGAGAAAGAACTGACAAGGGACCTGAAAAGATTACTGGGATTAAAATAGAGACTAGGTTGGAATCCACAAATGTGGAGGGCACCAAAATGATAGGTTTTGACTTGGCAAGCTAAGGATAGACAGCGAGAAAACAGTATTGGAATGATCCAGGCCTAAGATGTATGAAGTTCAATTTGAAGTTTTTGGAGGTAAAACAATTGGACAACTTTTTGTACCTTGTCTCTGACTCCATCCACACCTATGACAAACAGTAACGTGCAAGTTGCTCACTCCGGCCTCCTGCAGTCTTTATTTCAAGCAGAACTGGAAACCCCTATGTATATCTCCTATTGTTCTGAGTCACATGTGAGCAAGTTTGAGAGGATTACTTGGGGCTGGGGAGTGGAGGGCGAGAGGATTAAATCAGGCATACAGGGTCTTAGGCTATACCACATCCCCACTGACAGTGGAGGAGCATTTAGGTGTGGGTTAACCTGATGTAATGTGTGCAAAGGAGTTCTGATTGCTTTCTTTGTGGTCAGAGTGCAGAGAGAGGAAGCATGAGTTAGAAGCCTCAACTGGAGACTGTTTATAATATGTTTTCTTGTTTAAGAACAGAGAAATGTTCTTGGATTATTGCTGAGCTCTTACTTAAGCAAGTCGTTAAATGATTTTAATGAATGTTTCCAATTTTATTTTAAGTGTATGTACTCAGCCATGGAAAATTAAGTTGAATGGCACCTTCAACTGTATCAGATGTTATAAAATTGATCCTTCAAAGCACTGTTTCATCTTTACCCTCTAAAACTGGATATGTATGTTCTTCCTGGTGCTCCACAGCTCCAGAAATGTTTGCTATCATCGGACTTTTAAACTGAGTGGGAAAATCTCATTTTCTTGATTGAAGCTGAAAATCTTTTTATCTGTGTTCATTGTGTTATAGGACAGGGAGAGGGGCAGCCCAAACCCCGCAAACCTGCCTATTCTAAATGGGTTCTGCCATCCGCCGCATCAACACAAAACATATGAGACTTTAATGGGAAGGAACTTTAATAAAACTAAGAAACAATACAGGAAAGGCAAAGAGTCTAGTTTCTAAATGAAGCACCCAAAGTTACCTGTCCCCTCATGGGTAAAAGTCCATCCAAATGGGATTGGCCCAGAGCAAAGCCCCAAAGCCTGCCACAAGTCTAAAGCATCTTCCAGTGGGGACCCACAGCAAAGGGTCAGAAATAACCAGACAAGCCCGGAAGGAAAAGAGCAAAATCAACATCAAGATAAAAACTGCCATTGTCACCTCCCCATGGGTCTCACCCACATCTGTGTCACCCAGTCTACGACCAAAAGACAAGCACAGTTTCTTCACGTGTCTCTAGGCTCCATGCGCCTCCTCCAGGTCTCCTGGCTCCATCCTGCTTCCTTCCTCAGTCTCTTCTGCAGCTTCTCCTCTTCCTGCTCAGCTCCACCCTCCCTTGGGTGGTGATGGGATTTGTCTTTCCCAGAGTCTTGATGGCTTTAGTCTGGAGTGGGGGTGGAGTCCACAAAGCCTGTATGGGATTAACTCAGGACATCACTTCCCCCTAACAATTGGCCATTCTACTTTTACCTTCCCTGAACTAACTATTCTTTTGATCATTTTTCACTGGATCATTTGCCCTTTTTCCTCACTTTTAAAATAAGAATATATTTAATACATTTGTCCTTGTCCTTTGTTCATTATATGAAAAAAAGAGAAGGGAATTGAACAACATGAAACAAAATAATCAGAGAGAAATGTTATTTTTGAATTCTTTAAGATTTTAAAAAACCTCATGTATTCTCTACAATGTAGCTAAGTCTGATACCACAGATGAATATACATGGGCCTTCCCCTTTGCGCCTTGGGCCCCCCAGGGTTTTGTGGAAACTGCAAAGACATCTTCCACAATTTCAGTACCTCAAAGATGACTAGGAACTAAGGGATAGTCAGGGATCACTTACAATTGTCCACCTTTTTTGGGTGAAATTGTAAGTTGAGGGAATGGATTCTAAATTTTAGTTCCAGGTAAGCACAGCCCCAGAGAGGCCCAGAAAAATGTTGGCTTCCCTGTGGTTCTGTTGTAGAGCAACCCCGATACAAAACGGGGTGCCTGACTGTGGGTCCTCACCCACGCGCTTAAAAGGACTTATCAATGCTCTACTGCAGGCACACGTGAAAGGTTAATAAAAGGTTTATTTACAAGGTAAGGGGAAATGAGGAAATGTACAGCTCTGGGAGAAAAGTGGGAGACAAAGTTTTAAATGAGTCCTACCCAATCTGCCGATCAGGAATCCCAAAATGGTGCTCTCAGAGTTGGCCGCCAGCCAGGAGCAGTGAAGCCAGGAGACGAGCGATCGCGAGCCAGAGAGCCCCCAAGGCCCACATGTTTGGTTTTTATATCCAACCTGGCTGCCCAACTCCACCCTCAGGTCCCAGCCACCCTCCCTTTGGTGGTGATGGGATTTGTCTTTCCCAATGTCTTGATGGCTTTAGTCTGGAGTGGGGGTGGGGTCCACAAAGCCTGTATGGGATTAACTCAGGACATCATTTCCCCCTAACAGTTCAGGCCAGTGGCAGGGATTGGAGAGATGGCTCAAGAGTCATAGTTGTCAGCAGTCACCATCCACACTGCCCCAGCTTGAGCATGTTACCTGAGAATGCTTCTCTGAAATCCTTTGTGGAAATTTTAGACAACCTTGTGGCCTGAGAACTGACAGAAAGAAGTGGGAAAATGGGCCCTGTAGGTCGTGACTCACTGTGAACAGCAGAGAGCAGCATTGTCCTGCCTTTGCCTCTGAAAAGAGCCAGCTAAAGAAGGTACCTACATGAACTCAGCATGACTTACTTAATTTTTCCAGATTCTAGAACTCTCAACCAAAGTTCCCTTAGACAGTTAACTGACGGAAAAATAAAGAATTAAAGAATGCGAGCTACAGGCTTATCTTTCTTTGCTTCTCTATCAAGACATAGACATAGACATAGGCACAAACATATTAATATGTTATGGAGGTGAGACTACAATCCAAATATTCAGACTCTGAGTTCAGGGCCATTCTTTCCTACAACTTGCAAAATCAGGTGACTTGTAAAAATTCAATACTGCTATCAGTGTTGCTACAGTAAGACTTTAGGAAAGTTATAAAACTTTCCGCTCCTAGGATGCTTTATTTTATTTTTTATTTTATTATTATTTTTTTACTTCATTTTTCATTATTGTACAATATATGTATTATCACCTTAGTTATATTCCCTGTGAAATTCCCACCACCCATTCACCCATGATTTATCACCATGATCCCTTGTGCTCTGCCCACCCTTGTTACGATCCTGCTCCCTTCTCCCCACCTGCAGAATGTCTCTGGTTTTTAATTGTCTGTTGATCTTGATTTTTACTTTATTATAGTTACTTTTTTTTTCCTGATCCCTTATTTGGATCCTCTATACTACTCCTATATGTGAGACCATCCAGTATTTTTCTTTTTCTTTCTGGCTTATTTCACTCAGCATGTTCCCTTCCAGGCCCATCCATGTTGCTGCAAATGGCATGAGTTTATCTTTTTTGGTTGCTGAGTAATATTCCACTGTGTATATATATCTTCTTGATCCAGTCATCTATTTTTGGGCATTTGGGTTGTTTCCATAGCTTACCTATCATAAATAGTGCTATAATAAACATGGCGGGGTGGGGGGAGTGTCCTTTTGGATTAATGTTTTTGTGTCCTTTGGGTAGATCCCTAGGAATGGAATTGCTGGATCATATGGAAGCTGGATTTTTAATAGGTTGAGGAACCTCCACACAGCTTTCCTATAGTGGTTGCACCAGTTTGCATTCCCATCAGCAGTGTAGTAGAGTCTAGGATGTTTTAAATGAGATGTTCCCATCTTCATAGAATAGGCAGCACCTGACTCTCAGACCACAGAAACACTGTGTTTTTTGAAGGATTAGATTGCATAATTCCAGAGTCCTGGAAGTCTGTGGTTTGAGGCAGATAAATTAACAAGGGATGAAGTCATGTACCAATGATTAAAGTGGATGGGAGGGAGGGAATGCTAGAGGCAGCCTTTCATCTGTGGAGCAATAAAAGGATTTCCCTTCAGGACTGACTGGTTGCTCATCCCAGAAGCATTTTCCTCTTCCCCTGGAAAATGAAACTACTACGGCAAGTATGACACTGATGTTGGACTGAAAACTGGGACATATTCCTGAAAAATAGACTTCCCAAAGTCCAGACAGACTTTTGGCTCTTATCTTATATCACCTTAAGACTTTTATTTCTTTTCAGAACTTGGAAATTAAATCATATGAGAGCAAGTAAGAACAGCTGTCTTTATTTTTATATATTGATTTAAATATTTTTTCCTTTATACTTTTACAAACCCAAATCAGTAATTTTCTTTTCTTTTCAGCAATGTTGTATATGTGACAGTGTTCAACCCAGGGTAAGAAAACTTTGTCTAGGGTCCATGTGCCACAATCGGTGTAGCCTGGGAAACTCATATTGGTCTCATTAAAATGAGAATCTAAGAATTTTTTATTTTCCCCAAGAACCCAGCTCTGGTCTCCTCAGACAGGGCTCTTTATGTGTCATCACGTGCAATCTTCACCTCTTGTTACCACAGGGTTAAAAGAATGCACACCAGTGTTTTATAAATTTTAATACTTATTATTATCATTCATTGAGCTCCTTCTATGAGTCAGGGACTGTGACCAGCACTTCATACACATTATTTCATTTAATTCTCATTCTAAAGATGGGGCAATCCAAGCAGAGATGAAGTAAAATAGACTAGGTCAATTAAAAATTGTGAGCTGGTCAGGAAACTACCTCACCTTCACCTTAACAACCTGGGGAGTTGTTTGCTTTGAAGCTGCATCTGTCCCATTTTGAATCACAACTGGCAAAAACAAGTGCATCACATCCTGTCTCAAACAGTTGGACCTCATCTCAGCAGGCAGGAGCTGTTTGAACACTTGATCCTAATGTTACAGGACAGGGAGAGGGGCACCCCAGACCCCACAAACCTACCTGCTCTAAATAGGTTCTGCCATCCACTACATCAACACAAAACATATGAGACTTTAATGGGAAGGAACTTCAATACAATTAGGACGCAATACAGGAAAGGCAAAGAATATAGTTTCTAAATCAAGCACCCAAAGTTACCTATCCCATCGTGGGTAAAAGTCCACCCAAGCAGGATTGGCCCAGAGCAAGGCCTGAAAGCCTGGTCACAAGTCCAAAGCACCTTTCAGTGGCGACCCACAGAAAAGGATCAGAAACAACCAGACAAGTCTGGGAGGAAAAGGGCAAAATCAAAATCAAGATAAAAGTTGCCTCTTTTATCCTCCCCACGAGTCTCACCCACATCTCTTTCAACCAGGGCATGGCCAAAAGGCAAGCACAGTTTCTTCACGTGTCTCTGCTCCATGTGCCTCCTCCAGGTCTCCTCTAGCTCTCCATCCTGCTTCCTTCCTTCTCAGTCTCCTCTGCAGCTTCTTCTCTTCTTTTTAGCTCCACCTTCCTTTGGGTGGGACAGGGAACCTGGAGTTTTCCCCTTTCCTGGGGACCACCCCGTTACACTAACAACTCAGCACACCCCATCCTGGTGCTATATCTTGACAAAAAGTACCATATATCCTGACAAAATTTGTGGCTTTCTGCTAATTTTCTGCCATACCCTGAAAGGAGGGAGTGGCCATGGGCTCCGCGTGTGCAGTCAGCAAAGGCCCTGAACAAGAGGTGACCTGGCTCTCATCAGGGGGACTAGGGGGGAGACCCAATGTAACAATGAGACATGCCGCCAATCAGGAGCATGTAGCCCTTCTACAGTATTCTAGCATAACCCCATCCAGAACGTATCATCACGTCACTCCCCTCTGCTCCTTCTCTACTGGCAGACCTCTTAAAAAGCCTTTTAGAATTTCCCTCAGAGAGTCAACTTGGAAACTTTTTTTTTCTTTCCAACACTATCCCCCCTTGTGTTCAAAGGTAAGTTTAATATACCTTGTCTTGATGTCCTCTTGTCTTGCCTTCCCCTGAGGTCTGTAACTTAAGTTCACTTACAGGAGGAATATAGGAAAACTGAACAAAGGATCAGAAGAAATACAAAATATGCAAACTGACCATTGGTTTGAGGCATAAAGTAGGGGAGAGGGAGAGAGGGGGTCAAAACAGGGAAGGAAAGAGCACAAGGAACTGTGGTAACTGTTCACAGTTGCTGTGGTGGTGGGAGATTTATGGGGACTACACTTGAGGGGAGAAATGATATAGTGTACAAAAAAGAACAACGATGTAAGAAAATAAAAAATTCAATAAAAATAAATAAAATTGAAAAGAAGTAACTTCCGAAAGGTCGTATTTGAACCCATGTCTCTCTCATTCCTATAAGGGGAGTTGCCTTTGTTAAATTTACCTCCAGTATTCTTAGAACTTCTCCATAAATGTATCTCCAGCTAAATGGAATATGCACTAGATAAGCCACCTAGCAGAGCAGAAAGCCAAAGTAGGTTAAAAATGCCACCACCTAGAAGCAGTACGATTACATTAAAAGAAATTTAAACCTGGTAGAAAAGTTCAGAGCATCAACCAGTTCAACCCCTTACTTTACAGATCAGGAAATTGAGACATAGAAAAGCTAAATTACTAAACAATTTTACAAGGTCGAGGCCAGAGCAGAGATGGGGTTCAGAGAGGGGAACTTGAAACTGCTGCCATCTGCAACCCGGGAGTCGGCTCTGCCGGGTTTGCATGGGCCCTGATAAACAGCTTTGAAAGAACTAGTTGAGAGAAAGAACTTCCCTCAGAGGCCAGATCCCGCCCTATAAAAGCTTGCCCTTACTCCCCAACAGGCGCGACTTCTCCGACTCCCATGGTGGTGGGCCAACCTGGCCCTTGAGTGCAATAAATTTCCTGCCTGTGAGAAATTTAGCCTGGCTCTCCTTTAATTTACCGTGCCAATCCTTTAGAATTTTATATAATAAGTAGAAGCAGTTAACATTCGAATCACTGAAGGTGCACTGTGACCACCCACTTTTTTTCTTATGACAAAATGCATCTCCTCCTCCCTAGCCCCAGGGGAAAGCACTCATTGCTAATGGGAAGGAAGCCTTGGCACTAAGAATTCATTCCTGTTTTGCTGCTCATGAGCAGAGTGACACTATGTGTCAGTCATTGAGCTTTCTGTGTCTGATTTCTCTTTTGTAAAATGGGAATAACACTGTTTTACCTATCTCACAGAGCTTTCATGGAAACAAAGTCAAATAATGAATATGAAAAATTTGAGAAGAGGAGACATAGCACTGGATGCATGGTTTAAGTATTTATTATCAAAAAATGAGTTAAGGAGTACTTTCCTTGTGAGGATACGGATTTGGCTGATGTCACAAAAACCCCAAATAAGAGTGATTCAACAAAATAGCAGTTTTTGCTCTCATGAGTCATTTTTAATTGTATTATTTTTTTATTGAGATAACACTGGTTTATACCACTGAACATGATTCAGAGGCACAGGGTCACACCTCTTCAGGTGTAAGTTACCACACCACACCCACCACCAAAGCACCCATAATCCACTACCATAGTTCACTGGGCCCCTCCCAGCTTTACTGCCTCTGGTAGCCTCAATTACAGCAGATCGCTAGGGTTTGTTTTGGTTTAGTTTTGTCTGCAATTTGTTTTGTTTCTCTATAGTCCACATATAAGTGAAGTCACCCTGTATTTGTCATTGATTCTATATTTTCCTTCTATCATACTGCTCTGCTCTCCCGAGGAGCTGCCCTTTGGTTGCCTCATGGTGCAAGTTGAATCATCTCCACAAGCTTCATAGTCCAATTAAATGT